TTAATCGCAAACAATGAAGGTAAGGTTAGTTTATAGAAGGAAGCAGTCATGTTTAGGTCCCCTCTATCAGTGGACTTGGCAAGGGGCACGGTGGAGATGAGGGAGGGAGGGAGGGACTGGGAGGGAATGAGGGATCGGGACACGGCTGGGATACAGAGTTAATAAAATGTAACTGATAAGAAAAAAATAAAATTCAAAAAAAAAAAGAAAAGAAAAGTGACATATAATGAAAAGGCGACTAAAAGTGGCGACTCAGAGGAAAAGTTGACAGAACGAATCAGGGATCAGATATACTCAACTCTCATGAAAAGAGAACAGGAAAGAAAGTCTACTTAAGAGCAGTGCAGGGAGAGAGTGTTTGTTTCTGGGACAGTTTTACAGAGACAGGTTTCAGAGAGAACAAGGTAGACACAGGAGAAGACAGAATGAGCTAGAGAGTGAGAAGGAGCCAGAATATTAAAACATATTGCCAGAATTAGTCTGCGCCTGGGTAGAGCAATTCAGTGAGAAGCCAACAGAAGCCAGTTTGAATCACTCAGCTTGGAGAGGTGTTTAGGCCAGAACAGCCTTCAGAGATTGAGAAAGAGGTAGAAAATCTTGGGACTGGTTCGCATCTCACCCTCTCATCTGAGAACATAAAAACATTTATAGTTTTTCCTTTCCTTTGAGGGAGGATCTCTTGTTGCTCTTGTTTTTTTTTTTTTTTTTTTTTTTTCATGCTGGATACTTCGGGCTTTTGGGATATTCCATAGGTTTCTGGGCAATTCTTCTGTCTCTGCCTCTAATCTCTGTAGGAATGTTGGGATGAAAGATGCATGCCACTGCAACAGAGTTCTTGGCATGGACTTTAGGGATCAAACTCACGTCTGCAGGGTTTTGCTGCAAGTGCTTGCACTTGCTAAGACATTTCACTAGCTTCTGTCTCTAGGTTTCTTAAATATGCCCCAGTTTCATGTTTTCTGGCTGTTCTATTTTTCTCTCTTCTAAAAAGCATACATTTTTCAATTTCTATCCAGAGTGTCAAATTTGAATTCAAATTTTACTCGATCCATTTATTATGACCTACATTTTTAGAGTCCCTATCTAAATACATTGGTGGTATATATTCAGACAATTCTGAGGTTTAAAACTAAACTTTATATAAAATGCCTATTGCAGGCAGGGTTTGCTGGGTCATGCTCATCATCTCAGTAAAAAAACAAACCATTCTTTCATATCATAACAAGTTAGTCATGCTCAGGACTTCATTAGGAGGTTACTGTACTGACAAGATTTTCTATCAGCTTAGAAGATGGCTCTCTAGGCACAGGATTTGCCACTGCCCATGAAGACTTGAGTTCAAGTGTCCATAACACAAACAAAGCTGCATGTTACATCTGTAATCTCAGTTCTCCTCCTTGAAAAATGGGAATAGAAACTGGAATTTCACTGGAAGCGTGAAGGCCATAGAGACAAAAGAAAGACTGCTTCAAACAGGGTAGAAGGCAACGAATAATGCCTAAAATTGTCCTCTCACCTATATATGTGTTCTGTGGAACAAATGTATGTGCACTAACACATATGAACACGCAGAGGCACACTCCTTGCACGAGTGCACACGCGCTGGCACACACGCACACCACACAATCTCTGTCTCCATGAAGAATACATTTCACCTTCCATTCTACTTTGTTTGGAACTTGGATGCTCTAACTGTTCAAGATTCTTCATGCTTTATGTATATCTCATTTAATTGCGAGGAACCATCAGTTCTCTGCGACAGGTACAATTATCTCCATTGTTTGGATGAGAACACTGATACATGGGGAGGTTAATTAACTTGATGAGTATCTCAAAACTTGTGTAAAATCATGGTGCAGACATAAAAATCTAGTGAATGAGTGTTTAATCACATACAGCTGCCTCTGAGACAACTGTTTGCTCACTGTATATAGCTGATACTGTTTCACTGGAGCCTGAATACACAGGACTGTTATGATGTGTTTAGATTCTAATTCAATTATTGCATTTCCATATCTATTATATCTATTTTTGTTAAATTACTAGCAATGCTGAATTCACACATCGCTAAAGTTTGTATTAGCTGAAAATTAGATGTAAGCAAAACTTAATCATGACATATATTTCTATATTAGACTTGGCATCTCAAATGGCCATGTAATATTTAAAAATAGGAACACATTCATTGTCACCATAATAGGTTCAATTGTATAAGAAAAGGAATTTAAAAAAGGAAATTACTATTAAAAACTCAGTTGCACCTTCTGTAGTATTTTGCTTTATAGCCTGTAATTTCCATGTGGGGTTCACTTGGAATCTGGAATCCTGGAGCTGTTTTGCCTGTTGGGTCAGAGAGAAGAAACATTTTGGAATCTGTCCAAAGAGTGGCTGATTGGCAGGACAGTCTCCCCTACCTGAGTTGGGCACTACCATCGGAGTAATTTATACTTTAGATTCTCCTGTGGCTCAGACAAGAGAACCAAGGAACACTGATGGGGCCATTGCGCCGTTCCCTTTCATCTTCCCCTTTTACTGCACAACTCTCCCTATTGAGGCATTCCTATTTCTGTTGCTGAATTCTAGCCTCTATTTATCTATGCAACTGGACTTAGTGCAAGAGAAAAACAAGTGCTGATAAGTGACATGCCCGAAGGTGGCACAGCAGGGCAGTTCATTATCTGGATTTGATATACAGTACCAGCAGTAAGGACAGTCAACTTTCAAAATGCATCATTGATTAACCCCAAAGTCCTGTGACATCTCCACGTTATGCTTCTATTTTCTTATCATCAAATTTTGGATGAAGATATGAACCACATGCAGTTTTGACTTTTGGAATATTTGGACAAATTAATGTTTAAAAATCTCAAAACAGGCCATTTAATGGCTAAATTTATAGACGTGTTAGAGAATGTAGTCTAATGATGTTTGACTCTGACTCGTTCATTTGTCTTAGTAAAGTTGCAGCAACTGTTTATCTCCTCCCTCTTACCTCTCTGTCCTTATACATTTATAAATATACGGAGCTATCTACCATCCATCCATCTACCCATTCATCCATACATTCACTACCTATCTATCATCTGTTTATATCTATGTTGAGTAGTGTATATTTCCTAGTTGTTTTTGGATGTTGAGTGTGGAGTCTCATCATGCATACCCAATCAGTGTCTTCCTACTGTCCTGTTCCTAGAGCCTTTTTCTGCCTCTTGCTGAAATGTTCTGCTGCTACTTGACTAAATGCAATTTCAGCAAACAAAGCCCATTTTCAATTCACAACAGGAATCTTCTATGTATAAAAGATAAGCCCGTGTTCTCAACAATTCAAAGTGCAATTCAATAAAATTGCTATGAGAAGTGTTTAATGCACAGATGTTGCTCAAACACAATAATAATTAGACTTATTTGACATGCCAGGAAAAGCTTTCTGAAAGATGGTTATTTTGACAGATAAATTAGTGTATATATTCCTTTAAGAGTTCTTCAGAGAAACGGAATGAGAAGGGCATATATCGAAGGTATATAAGAGGAGATTTGTGGTAAGAATTGGCTAACGATTGTGGCTCATGGTATTGTCTGACAGATTCAGATTCAGGAAGAAGTGAAGTATTTTAGTCCACAGCATTGAAAACCAGGAGGGCCAATGTGAAAGTGTGGACGTTTAGTACAACAGGTCATCCTGTCTCTCCCTTTTGAGATACTTAGATCTTTAATGTAGTTAATGATGCCCACCCACATGGATAAGGGAAGATTTTCACTTAGCCAAACAATTCAAAGAGCAATTTTCCCTATAAACATGATTTTCAATAGAGTTGAAATGCCTTTTTGCCAGCTATTTGGGCTTTCCTTATCCCAGGCATGTAGACGCATAAAACTAACCATCACAAACAGAGCTGCAGATCCATGACACTTTAACTAGGAAGAGCACTAATTAGAAATAGAGTGAGATGCACACAATGAAGAGTGTTTGGGAGAGTCTAGGTGATTCTTTGAGAAAATAGGAGCCAAGAATCAGGATATCAGCAGTTGATATCCCAGAAGCTTGTGCTTCTGCATAAATAGCAAGAATTTACAATGATGATATATGCGTTTCTGTAAGGACTTTAACAATAGATTTGCTTTTGTTCCCGACACTGTAGAGGACCAGAGTACAGGTAAGGTGTAACTAGATAAGAGTTAACCAATGGCATAATGAATAGCCAGGCAGGGGATGGCACAGTGAAGAGCCAGGAGAGCGATGGAACAGTGAAGACCCCAGGAGATGATGGAACAATGAAAAGCAAGGGAAGTGGTAGAAGAGTGTAGAGCCAGGAATATCTAGAGGCAAGATCATCAGACAGTAAATAAAGAAGATAATGATTTCAAGAATATAAATTAGGGAGACATCAAGAAATGAACAAACTAGATAGGTCGCACTAAGTCATAGATGTTTGGTTATAGAGTCCATGTGGTCAGCAGTCCCCTAGGCTAGAGATAGGCAGCAGTAAGAGCAGATTGGGAGGGAATAGGGAAGAGAAAGGATGTGTATGACTTCACTCACTGGCATGGAAAGCATGGCATGAAATACATGGAAGAAATGATTCTTCCACATGATTCAACATTCCCTTGTGGTGAGAGATTTATGCAAATATCTCCTGAGTAATTCCTTGTTTTCTAATCACACAATTACCAGACCATTTCAAAGTGGGGATTGTATAGCAACTGTCAAATCAGTTGTTCATTCACATCTATTGTTGTTTTATGGTGAAATCAGAATATTTTTAACTTCAAAGCTTCAATGACTGTCTTTAAGGAATCTAGCCAAAGGCTTTTAGAATTGTTAAAAATTGTAAGCTCAAGTTGGCTACTAATCACCTATTACTGTGAGGACTTGACTTAAAAGTATGGGCTGTGCTTACTCTACTGAGACATCAGAGCTCTTCATTTTATTTATTTATCTATTTATCTATCTATCTATCTATCTATCTATCTATCTATCTATCTATTTATTTATTTTAGATTTATGTTTCCTGCATGGTTTGTCTCCTCAGTCACTGTCCACAGGACTCTGAGAAGCTGTAGGAATATGCAGGTGTGAACTCGAAGCCCAGCTTCATCTCCAATGTTGTGGAAAGGGACTGTACATCACCGGGCCACACCCTATGTTCCCATAGGCCACTAGGACAGAGCCCAGGGAGAGTGAAGAGCTCTTCATTTTTGAACAGCACATCAGTTTATAGATATGAATTCCTCTTGTCTGTTCAACACTGTGGCAAGTCAAAAGAGAAAAAAAAGACAACAACAGACACATGCTGGGCTTAGTGAGTGAATAATGCATGCCAATGGATAGGATGTGCACATAAGATTATCAGTAGCCCTATAAACTAAGCCCCTGTCCCAAGAGTCAAAAGAATGTGCACTTTGGATTCAGAGAAACAAAAGTCCTTGCTCCTAAACATACACAGAAAGAGGAGTGTTGTGTGATACACCATTCCCGGGGACACCCAACACATGTCTACCCCATATAGGGAGCCCATTGAGGACCATAGTATGGATACCACCAAGGTCCAACTTGGAGTTATATTGGAGTCAAGATCTGAATCATGACAATACCAGGCCATTTTTATTACTGTTGATCTATAGAACAGCCTGAGATCAGCTTTGGAGATACTTCGAGAAGATCTTTTATTTTCCAGGGTTGTTTTAACAACTCTGGGTCTTTTGTTTTTTCATATGAAATTAAGAATTGTTCTTTCTGCAAGTTCTGGTGGATCAATGGAATCAAATAAAAAACCCACACATCTACAAACACTTGATTTTAGACAAAGAAGCCAAAAACCATACATTCAAAAAAGATAGCATCATCAACAAATGGTACTGATCTAACTGGATGTCTATATGTAGAAAAGTACAAATAGATCCATATTTATCACCCTGCACAAAACTAAAGTCAAAGTGGGTCAAAGACTTCAACATAAAACTAGACACACTAAACCAGTTAAAAGAAAAATTTGGGAAGAGCCTTGAACTCCTTGGCACAGAAGACAGCTTTCTGAACAGAACACTAACAGCACAGCTCTAAGATTAACAATCAGAGTGAATGGAATTTTATGTAAGAAGTGGGAAATAGTAAGATCTGGAGAGGACAGGAACTCCACAAGGAGAGCAACAGAACAAGAAAATTTGAACACGGGGAACTTCCCAGAGATTCATACTCTAACCAAGGACTATCCATAGAGATAACCTAGAACCCTGACAATGCAGCCACTTCTGATGAGAACTGATAGACTAAGATCAGAAAGAAGGAGAGGAGGATCTCCCCTATCAGTGGACTTGGGAAGGGGCATGCATGCAGAAAGGGGGAGAGGGTGGGACAGGGAGGGGAGAAAGGAGGGGCTTATGGGGGGATACAAATTGAATAAAGTGTAATTAATAAAAGTTAAATAAAAAAATTAAAAAAAGATTAACAATCACTAAACGGTACCTCATGAAGCTGAAAAGCTTCTATAAAGCAAAGGATACTTCCAATAGAACAAAATGATAACCTACAGACTGTGAAAGGATCTTTATTAACCCTATATTTGACAAAGGGCTAATATACAAAATATATAAAGAAATCAAGAAGGTAAATGCCAACAAACCCAGTAATCCAATTTAAAAATGTTGTACAGAGCTAAACAGAGAATTCTCAATAGAGGAATATGGAATGTAGAGAAACACTTATAGAAATGCTCAGTGTCCTTAGTCATCAGGGAAATGCAAATCAAAATGACCCTGAGATTTCACCTGACACCCACCAGAATGGCTAATATCAAAACCTCAAGTGACAACACATGCTGGAGAGGATGTTGAGAAAGGGGAACCCTCTTCCAAAGCTGGTGGCAATGCAACCTTGTTCAACTACTTGGGAAATCAATCTCGCACTTTCTCATACTATAAGGAATAGTGCTACCTCAAGATCCAGCTATACCACTCATAGGCATATACCCAAAATATGTTCAACTATACAACAAGGACATTTGCTCAACTATGCTCATATCAGTGTTATTAGCAATAGTCAGAATCTGGAAACAACCTAGATGTCCCTCAACTGAGTAATGGAAACAGAAATTACGTATATTTACACAAGGCAATACCACTCAGCAATTAAAAACAAGGAAATCATGAAATTTACAGGCAAATGGTGGGATCCAGAAAAGATCATCCTGAGTGAGGTAACCCAGAAGCAGAAAAACACGCTTGGTATATATTCACTTGTAAGTAGATATTAGACATAAAATATACGATAAACATACTAAAATCTATAGTCTTCAAGTGTGTTCCCCAGTAAAGGGATTAGGTGCTGTCTCTTACATGAATTCAGTGGGCAGCTCTTTGATCACCTTCTCTTGGAGGGTGGGATGCAGCCTTGCCAGGCGACAGAGAAAGAGGATAAAACCAGTCCTTATTGAGACCTGATAAGCTAGGGTCAAATAGAGGGGGAGGAAGACCTCTGCTAGAGGAGGGGCATAGAGGGAAAAAAGGGCAGGAGGATGAGACTGGGAGGAGAAGAAGGAGGTGGCTACAGCAGGGATTCAAAGTGAATACATTGTAATAAACAATAAATAAATAAAAATTGAAAAGAAAAAAAACAAGATCTGAACAAGTCATCTGTTGAAGCATGTATGTTGGATCATCATGATATATTCTCATAAAGTCTTGCCCATGTCCCCTTACTGTCTGCTGGGATCACTGAGTCAATTTTCTTCCAAGTCCACAGTCATAAATATCTGTAAAACACTTGGGGGGTGGGGAGACAGATCATAAGACTTTGCTAAAATGAAAGACCATGTCTTCAAAACAAATAATAACCCCCCTCCCCCGCCAGATATTTCCCTAGGAATCTGTCCTTGTTTTCAGCCTGTCTTCTGAATGATACAGAAAACCCCTTAGTTGTTTTCATTTAAAAGTAAAAAAGACAAAAGTGACTGGGAGCATCTTCAGACACATGCCTAGCATGGTCACAAGTTTTGAGGGAAAGAGGAAGAGGTAAGTTTAGGGAATAAATACAATCACTCGATACAATTACAATCAAAACAGGTGGGTACATGAATATTTGGGAACAAGAAAGAAACTACTCTCTTTTTCCTTCTCTTTCCTCTCTCTCCTATGTTTTTCTTTCTTTTTATTTTCTTCCTTTACTCCTCCCCCATCTTCCTCTCTCTCCCAAACACACAAATCACACACACACACACACACACACACACACACACAATCAGCACAGTCAGGTTACTGGTGTTACAGACAAAGAATTACACTATGCAAGTAATTATCTAGGTAACTAGTTAATAGATGTCACTGGGAAAAAGCCCAGCTACTCAGCTGCAATGGCATAGACTGCACTTGTTAAGAATGCTCAACAGTATGGATTTGATTGCTTGAGTAACTGACCTCCTGAGACCTGATGAGCAGGTAGGAATCACGTAGGAGGAGCAGCACAACAAGGAAAAGAAAATAGAAATGAAAACAGGAAAACAAAGACCAAACAGCATGCACAGTGGAACAGAAACCCCAGCAGCAGGGTCAGGTGCTGAGGCCGCAGGGCAGCAGCTAGCCTGTGCACTTTGAATGTTGACATGGGCGAGAGTATGTGTAGGTGCAGAAGACAAGCTCAGGAGTCAGGACTGAGAGAAAGGGCAAAGAAGTAGTGATGACAACGGAAGTGTGGCACAGGTGAATTCCCTGTAACCACTTTCTACATGACAGTATTATCCAAATGACTACAAACTTCCAGAGACAATACATCATTTTTCAACTGATATAGCAGTAAAATGGCTCCTGACTCCACCTCAGGAGATATGGTACTGCTGTGAGCTTCATTATATACAAGAACACACATTTAAAAATTTCTACACCTTCCTTAACATTGACTTGCTTGTGGTTTCTCCGCAATTTTCCCTTACACCCTCCTTTGTCCTCACATTCACTTCCCTTCACTTCTGCTTCAGAGACAAAGAGCAAGTAAACAACTCCCACCTTCATACACTGCACTAATCATGCACACTCTCACACATATGCACAGTCACTGTGACTCCACACAATGCTCCAGCACACACACATGCACACACGCACACACACACACACAGTACCAATACACACACAACACTATATATATATATATATATATATATATATATTATTATTATTAGTTACATTTTATTAACTCTGTATCCCAGCCGTGTCCCGATCCCTCATTCCCTCCCAATCCCACCCTCCCTCCCTCATCTCCACCGTGCCCCTTGCCAAGTCCACTGATAGGGGGGACCTCCTCCCCATTCATCTGATCCTGTTTTATCAGGTATCTTCAGGACTGGCTGCAAAGCTCTCCTCTGTGGCCTAACAGGACTGCTCCTCCCTTGGGGGGTGGAGAGGCCAAAGAGCCAGTCATTGAGTTCCTACAACACTATATTTAACCATCTGAAAAACACCCACACTGCACCAACACACACACACACACACACACTCACACTGCACCAACACACACACACACTGTACCAACACACACACACACACACACATACAC